ACAATATAAAGATGATGCACTGTAGCATTGTACACCTGAAACCCAAATACTTTTACTAACCAATGCCACTCCAATAAGTTCAGTGAAAAAGCTGTAGATGATAATAATTTAGGAAAGTAGTAAGACACATCCCACCATTCAGAATTTTTGGTCAGCCACAGTTAAGCTACTGATTGAATTTACTTAGAATTAGATGTGGAAATGCATGAAAGCAGTAGTTAGTTGTAAGTCAACAAAGGAGGTTACGAGGCTCCATTTAAAACAGTGTCTTCTGCTTACCAGCTGATCACATTGTTTAATGCTGTGATAAGGAGGTTCAAGACCCAGGACCAACCAGATGGTTGGGATCGGTCTTTAAATCCACCCTGACCCATTCAGGGGTGCCCCCACAGTATCCCGTTACCCTGGGCATGGACTGTTAATGTGAGGCAGTGCCTGCAAAGGAGGCACAGAAACGTGATACATTTAAAGGGGGAAAAGGGGCCCTGGCTGGGTCACTTGGGTAGAGGGTCATCCCACTCACCGAGAGGTTGTGGGTTCGATCCCCGGTTGGAGTGCGTGCACAGGGAAGGCGATGGATCGATGTTCTCTGTCACATCTGTGGTTTTCTCTCTCTCTCTCCCCCTTCCTCCCTCTCTCGAAGCGGTAAACATATTGTCAGGTGAGGATATAAAAAATAACATAATTTTAAAAAATAAAATAAATCTGAAAAGGGGGAAAAAGGAAACGAATCAATGACACTATGGCAAGTGACCCTTTCCAGGCTGCCCCCAGGTATGAGATCGGAAACTCCAGTGTCTGCAGCGGCCCAAGCAGGGCCCCCGGAGCCGCCGCCGCTGCAGCGGACTCCGCCCTGGGGCGGCGCCCTCCAGCCTCACCCCCGCGGCTTCCTTCTGGGAACCAGCACGTGTTGTCACACTTTTCTTCCAAGATAAACTTGGACTGTAACTTTGTATGTGAAAGAACCTGACTTTTTAAATAATGGCAACTGGTTCACACTCAAAGAAAAATAAAAACACATCACGTGGGCCAAAGAGCTCAGGTCGAGGCGCTAGCTTGGGTCTTCGCCTGCAGGTTCGGCGTTCCGGGCGCTCTGCCCCCGCATTACCGTCCCCTTCCGCAGCTTCTCCCTGGGAAACCGCATCTGCTCCCACAGGGGCGGGGCGCCTTCTCTGCACCAGCCTCCCGACTGGACCGAGGGGCTGGTCCTCTCCTCCGAACTCCAGGCGCTGGATCTAGCTCCAACTCCACATGGACGCTGGATGCGCGGGCACCTCGAACACCGCACGTGCAAAACGCTTTTATTGTTTTATTGTGTTCTTCCCATTACCCTTTATCCCCCTTTACCCCTCCCCCACCCCCACCGCAATCACCACGCTGTTGTCCATGTCCATGAGTCGTTTTTCCTTTTTGGTCGACCTCTTACCCCCTAACGACTCACCACCCCCGCACCCCCCAGGCTGACAGCCTGCTATCTATGCGTCTGTCTCTATTTTGCTTGCTAGTTCCCTTTGGTCATCAGAGCCCACATATGAGTGAGATCCTATGGTATTTGTCTTTCTCTGACTGCCTTGTTTCACTTAGCATAATGATCTCTAGGTCCATCCATGCTGTCCCAAAGAGTAAATTTTTCTTCTTTTATGGCCAAGTAGTATTCCATTGTGTATTGCTACCATCGTGGTTGTAAAACTCAACTCCCAACCTGTATCCCCACCCACCCGGCCTCCAGTTCCCCCAGCTCAGTAAGGAGTACCTGTGTTGCTCCAGGCATGTGGCAGTTACTCTGCTTTCTCATCTCCCGTCGCCTTCGTCCAGTCCGTCACTTTTCTGCATTTCCTTCTTGTAAAACAGTCCTTCCACCTGTCCCCTTAGCTCCATTCCTATTGCCACAGCAAGCCACCTCATGTTTCATATGTTTTCCACAACAGTTTCCTCTGGACGACCTCTGCCCTCTGCCCTCTGCCCTCTGCCCTGCCAGTCTATCCTTCACTTAACAACCAGAGTGATCTTTTAAAATAGTAAGCGGATTGCATCACTCCCTGTTTAAATTTTCTCAATGTCCTTACAATGCGTGCAACCCAAGAGAAGGAAAATATTATCCGACTGTGTCAAATGGACTAAGAGGTCTTTTTTTTTTTTAATCTCTAAAGCCATACTGATAATCCCCACATCAAAGGGCTGTCGTGAGAATTCCATAAAGGCCACTGTATTTTTGCATTTGTTTCATGTTAGCCTTTGCAGGGAAGAAGGTAAAATTTATATTAACAGCCACTTTAAAAACTCACCCACAGAGAACCTTCTAAACGTCTAGGTGACAACATCTTTCTTCGCATAATCGTCATCTGAAGGTAAAACACCTGCCTTGATTAAAGGATGAAGCCCTACTTCTAAAAATCATGGAACAGTCCAAGTTCAATTAAAAACTTGGGGCACCGTAAGGAGCGAGTTCAAGTGTCTTCCGATCATGTTTTTTTTTTTTTTTTAAGTTTTGAAATGGAAAAGGATTAGATAATGTGGTTGATGCAAATGTCACATCATAAAAACTTTTTTTTTCCAAATCTGTTTTTCTTGATTCGAGTTCATCTTCGCCTTGCGCTGTGCCGGACAGTCGGTTTCCCAAATAGCACCATGACTTGAGCAGCCCATAGTTTTAGCAGTCCCCGCGGCCCTCTGTGCTTTTTACGCTGGAATTCGCGCATTCCAGCGTAAAAACCAGCACCGTGGGGACGCGTCCGTGAAATCCGTGGCGGCCGGTGGCGGAAGAGCCGGGAGCGAAGGAGCAGCTACATGCGCAGGGGCGGGGAGCTATCGCCACAGAACTCAAAGTCCGCGCTTGCTCTGTGCCACCTGTTTTGTTTTGTTTTTTTAACTAGATCCATGTGAAAGTCACAATATTACTATGACGGACTCTTCCCTGTACCTCACCATGTGGCAAGTCGTATTGGTGATTATCAGAGCCACCGTTTTGTAACCACCAGCCTCCGTCAGGACTTAGACATTGTGTTTGGTCTTTTAATTGCATGTTTCTCTCGCAGGGTAATGGAACATACGAGATCTTTAAGGCCGCCTTTTACGGTGCTGAGCTCCCCTGACTCCCCCGGTCGTACTCCCTAGCTGGACCCTGCGTCCCGGCCACGGTTCAATAGGACGCGGTGTCCGTCCAAGGGCTCCCTGCCACCTCCAGGCGTCTCTGTGCGCTATTGATACATTAAAAGACTCTTCCTTCTCCTTCCTCTGGCTAAAATAAGAGTTACGCTGTAGGAGTCTGTTTAGACATCTCGCCCTAAGGGAGACCTTTGACTCAGCGGATGGTTAAGGAGCCCTCCACCCTGCTCTTACAGCACCAGGTACCTCCTCCAGCCTGGTGCTTATCCCACTGTCTTGTGCTGGACAGGGTGCGCCCCGCTCTCACCGCGCCCCTGGCACCTGGCGCGTCCTTAACACAGAGTGGGGCTCCGTGTGCCCGGAGTGAGTGAATGGTGTGTGTGTGTGTGTGTGTGTGTAGCAGAGGGTTCGGGAGTACGACTGAAAACAAGTTTTAAAGAAAGTGAATAAAAATCATAAAACTTGAGACAACACTTATCAGCATTTTTTGGTGTCTTTGCCTCCAGTTAACTTTCTCTGTCAGCCTCACTGCATAAAAAGCTTCGAATGCTTCTGTCTTCACGGTAGACCGCGAGCATGTCCTTACGTAACCGCAGATTCGCGGCAAATGTCACCTGAGTCGTTGTAAGAAAGAAGATACCCTTTAAAAGAAGTAACATGGTTTGTTAGATATTCTTTATTGTTGGACTTGTTTACGTGGAATGATTTGCCGCTATATATAATGATTAAATGAATGTTTTTGCATCTCTGATTATTTCTTTATAATACATTATGGAGACGAAGTCACTGGGTGAACATTTCACAGTGCTACATGTACTCTGTAAAAGTACCTGCCTCAGTGTCCCCTTAACAACCAGGCTATCTTCTTTGAAGAGCAAAGATTTCGTGAACAAAAGGAGTAGCTCATTTATCTATTTCTTGGTCATTTTCGAGATACCCTCTGTGAACTGTTCCGTAGTGATCTGCCCATTTTTCCGTTTGTCTGTTAGTCTTCCTGTTGACTTAAAAAGCTTTCAATGTGTTAAAAATATGATCCCTTGTGAAATTTTTATAAACAATCCCAGTGTGATCTGGGCCTTTGATGTTATTTTTTGTGCTTTTAATTTTTTAAAATTTTATTCACATGTATCAATCTTCTGTGAATTGCTCAGTTGCTTTTTCATATAGAATTTCTTACCATATATACTTAGATATGTTTTCTTCTAGCTTCATTAGTTTATTTTGTTTACATTGAGCTTTTTGATCCATTTAGAATGTATGTAGGGGTATAGTGTGAGAAGAGGCTCTAACTCTATTCTTTTTTTACAAAATAGTCCATTGTTCTAATATCTTCTTTTGACCGTCAAAGAAATGCTATTCGAGGCGACCGCGTTGAAATAATTAGCATCCTGAGACACAGCCCAGAGTCCACTAGGAACTCCTTCCCTTTCTTCAAGTGGGCAGACAGATCTCCACCGGTTCTGGTTGACCAGCACGGAACCTGTGCAGGTCCGGGCCACGCAGTCCCGGCACACCGACCCCTGTCTCGGTCCGGCGTCACAGCGGCCGACTGCGCGGCCGGAGGGGACTCCAGCCAGGGCTCCCAGGACCTTGGTTTTGCCCTTTTCACATATTTACAAAGTTGGGGGGGGCAGGGAGGGGCGGGGGGCTGGGGGCGGCTTTGGGGCCAAGTGTATAGAAAGGGAGGGGCCGATTCCCTGGACGGTCTGCCTTCCCCAGGCCGACAGGGTGGGAGGGAGAGAGGGGGCAGGGCAGTGTGGGGTCAGGGCTGCACGGGGAGCTCTGGCCCCGGCTCCCCACCCCCCTCCCGGGCAGTCGGAGAAAGAGTCTCCACGCACAGGAGGCCGCGCAGTGCCCCTCGGCCCTGAACTCTGCTCTCTGCTCTCTCCTCGCAGGCGAGCCGGAGCCCGCGGTGAGCAGCGACTCGGACATCTCGCTCATCATGGCCATGGAGGTCGGACTGTCGGACCTGGAGCTCTCCACCGACCAAGACTGCGAGGAGGTGAAGTCGTGAACTGGCGAGTGTGGGACACAGGGACGGTAGGACCCACGGGGACAGAAGAGAGGGGTGCCCTGCGACTCGGGCCAGGCTCACACACGCCTCCAGAACACCTCGGCCCCTGCAGGGCGCTCCACTCAGGAACGGTGGCGAAAAGCAATACCCGGAGTCGGGCCGGCGACGCGGTCTCCCGGCCTCCACGACAAGCGCCCACGGCCTCGGCAGGCTGGACGCCGCCGAAAGCTGAGCTCCCCTCCCACGCGGCCGTAGACACACTCACCCTTCAGAAGCTCCTACCCCAGACGGAAAGGACGCGCTGAGGGCTTCTCGGTTTTCATTTCAATTTTTTCCTGGTCTTGTTTTTTTTGTTTGTTTGTTTGTTTTGCAATTGATGTTTGATTTCTTTGGTGGTTTCTTTTTAAAGACCGTGTGTAGTCTCCTTTAGGTTCACGCCTCTGTGTTTCCTTTGATTCACGCCAGCGTTTACAGAGAGCGGTGTTCAGAAGTGCCGGGTCCCGCTGTGGCTGGCGTGTGTGCACTCCACCTCTGAGATGAAGGGTCCCGGCTCCCCGCCTGCAGCTTGTGTGGCTTTGGGGAGTGCCTCCGCACCCCAACCGAGTCGAAGGCCAGCTTTCATTAGGAATCCGAATTCTTTCCAGTGGATCTTTAACTTCCCAGGTGCCGGAGACCCCGACACTAAGCTGTGAACCTGCTGAGGCCACTGCTCATCAGTGTCTGCAGCACCACGCTGGTGGCCTCTTGCCCGGTGCCGTGGGGGGTCCACGTGACAGGAGAAGGAAGCTCTAGGGAGGCACTTTCGTTTGTCTGGGCCTCACCGTCTTTGAACTCAGAGGTCCCCTCCAGGGCAGTAAGGCCACTCTCCGTGGCAGTAGGGCTTGTAGCTGGAATCACAAGCTCCGTGTTAAGACCAGATATCACGAATCGTTCCTGAGAGTGGAACGTCTGTTGTACGGGCTTCCCCCAAGGCCGGAGCAGGGTCTGGGACCTCAGGCAGCGTCTGCAGGAGATGGTGGCCTTAGTCACCTCCAAGCCCGTGTCCCCACAGTGCAGGTTCTACCTGGATTCCAACACACTTCTGTTACCCCCGCCAGACCTGGAGGAAGGGTGTAGGCGAATCCTCTGCAGGTTGCTTCCCGGGGCTCCCTGAGCAGGTCTAGACACCAGGTGAGGAGGGAGGTGTGATCTGATGAACATTTGGTCTAAAAGGTACAGCAGGGGAGTTGGTGACGTCACGAGAGAGACAGACAGAGAAGGGGAGGGGTACCCAATGGATACAACACACCACCACTGTTTTGAAACTCTTTATGTTTGCACTCTTTTTTTGTAGCTCTGACAGAAATGTGCTATTTTTCCAGCGGGCAGTTTTGTAATGGGTTTGTTTAGACTCTCCCGGGGCAGAGAGGACGAAGGACGGGAACAGTTTCTCCGGACGGTCAAGGGTTGCTTTGGGCTGCCGCAGGGCTTGACAGGAGAGGGGGCTTCCCTCCCCGAGTTCTCTGCACCTCAGACGAGGCTCCCCCCCTCCCCCCCACCGTCCTCACACTAACACTCACCCAAAACACAGAGCTCGGTTCCGCCGCAGAACCTCGCTGCCCGCCGAGGCACGGAGCACCGTGCCGGATGGGGGGACACTGCTGGGTGTGCCCTTGTCACCGCCGCCTTCGACCATTGCCCAGGTGACACCTTCCAAGCAGGCTGCAAGGCGAGGGAAATGATTGCCGCCTTCAGAAACGTCCCCTTCAGGGAGGAGTGAAGACAGCACTGAACCAGGAGTCCGGAGGCCCAGAGGAGCTGCGTGCGAGCCGGGCCTCTCCCTGTCCACCTGTGGAGTGGAGGGGTGGAGGGGTGGGGCGAGACGGTGCCCGAGGCGCCTTCTGGCCCAGGGGCATCCGTGTCTCGCAGGACGGCAGGTGGCCGCCTTCCCACCTTGAGGAGGCGGGGTTGCTGGGTGTAGAACATACGGTGACGTCTGTTGAGATTGGGTGCTCCTGTGTAGCTGAGCGTGAGTATCTCAGGAATTGAAGTTTTAAGCCCAAGTAGGAGTCGCTTGGCTTCCCCTCATTTTCAACCCTCTGTTAGTCACTACGTTTGCCATCTCTGGACACCCGCCAGGCCTGGTGTTTTTGTGGGCAGTGGTTCGTTCAAGGTGTTTCTTTTCTCGGTCAGCCCTGGCCCACAACACCTACCCCTCCTTCGTCAGCTTGGCCCTAAACAAATTTTGGTCTTAAGTGGAATTAGAAGGATAATTCAACAGCAAAGGAAACAGGCTTTGCATTCCATACACAGAGACAACACGCCTGCAGGGGTGCATAGCCCTCTGCTTAGCGAGGGTTCTCTCTCCCTGCCAGTTCCCCCGGGGCGCAGGGATGGACTGCATGCCGCCGCTGCCGCCGCTAGAGGGAGCTGCAGATATGCTGAGGGGCCCAGGAGGTTCAGCAGAGGCCGGTGCACCTGACCCCCTGAGTCTATGACGTTCTCCACTTACCAAAGGTTTCTGTTTCTAGAGGATTCTCCTGTGACTTTGGTAGCTAAGAAAAAAAAAATTTAACCAGCATGGAACGGTGCAAAAGAAATAGAAACAGCCCTTCTTCCCCCACAGCATTCCTCACCACCTCCCACCAAAGACCTGGGGACCCCATGATTCATAGAGGGTATCAAAAGGTTGGGAAACTTTCTAGAAGTGTAGGCAAACTTTAATGTATTGGCTGATGTGCATTTTTCTGTCCTGAGTGTCTAGACCAGCACTGTCCATCAGAAATGAAATGCAAGTAAAAAAAGTCAGCACGTAAAAATAATTTAATAACCTCTTTCTTTCATCCAATAGTATCATTTCAACATGTAATTCATGCAAAAAGTGTAAATGAACTGCTTTGCATTCTTTTTTGTACTTAGCCCTGTGCAGGCATTCCGTCTGTTACACCCCCGGGCCTCTCCACTGGGACGAGCTCCTGATTGGACAGTGCAGGTCTCCAGCTTCTCCAACCTTCTCACAAGGTGCCCTGACGCTTGCAGAGAAAACAGGCTAAAACCTAGTCACCTGCCCAGAGTACTAGACTCCGCCCAAGCGGCCTAACTAGGGGCTCACAGGTGTGTTTGTTTTGAAACAGATAACTGTTCAGGCGGCCCTTGCTGGGATTTCTGCTTAAACTTCCCAGCCACACCCTGAGCCCCATTAGCATTTACTGCTATTTCTCTGGCTAGTCGTTTTTCAGAAAGGCGCACAAACCACGTTGATTTGGTGCTCAAACAAGAGTCTGTCCCTCCCTTCTCCGGCAAATCCTGAGGCTGATCTGTGGCACTCCACAACCAAAGAGAATTCCAGACTGTAGTCTTCCAACGTGACCTTGACCCCTAAGCAGCCCTTCTTCCTGCTTGGTGGGAGGTCTTTCCCCAGCCCTGCTGCCCCCTGGGGCCTTAGAAAGGAAAAGTAGGAAGTTCCTATTGACTCCAAATACCAGATTTTGTGTGGCAGTACTGAGAAAAAGTCTTTGGGGCTGGAGACTGTCCAGACACTCCTTGGTGAGTTCTAACTGCCTGGCAACAGCCCAACTCTTAACTTGAAATCAGCATCCCTGCCCCCCAACCACGGAGGCCATGGACTAGAACCAGAGCATTTTCGTTCCCTCAGAACAATGTAGAGTCACCTCTAGGCATTGTGACCTCCTGTGTGGCTGGTCCCTTTGGGAGGAGCTGAGCCCCCCCCCCCGCCCCCCCGGCCCCGATCAGGAAGACAGCACCTGGACCTTGATGGAGTGTCCAGGGATTGTCACCCCGGCAGTGTCAACGGTGCCATCTAGGCAGGAGGAGTGGAGAGTTTGAGAAGGCAGGAGGCGACTAGTGGCAAAGGCACCTACCTGTTCTGACACCACCTGGTAGTCATGGTAACCGTGGAGGCAAGCCTCTGTCCGAAGAGGTTTGTTTGGTCTTGTTTCCGGCGTTTCTCTCGTTCTGGTGGAAACATCTCTGGACCTTTGTGGCCCTGGGTTTGGTCCCATGAAAAACCATGGTACCTAATGGCAGTTTTGGTCAGTGCCCTGACCTCCCCACGGCTGCCATGCTCTTAGAATCAAACATGCTGACAGATAAACCAACATAGGATTCTTCCTTATACTTACGAGTTTAAATTAGATGAAAATTCTTGCCAAGCATACAAAATAAACGGCCTCCCCTTGACTGAACACCAAGAAATCCCATTAAATCAAAACTCCTTCATCAAAAAGGTGAGCTATAGAGTCACACCCTCCATGGAGCAAGGACCCAGGGTGATTTCCGGCAGCATTTTTACACGCTCTCACTTAAATCTCTCCCCGTTTCTGTCTCCAAGCCTGGCTTCCTCTGATCGCCCGTCTCTTCCGTTGTGTGTGCACTCACACACGTTCTTCTCCCACCTTTCGGGACAAAAGGCCTCGGTTCTGCAGGTCTCTGGAGTGATCAGTGTGGCCACCGTTGTTAGTGGTGTTGGTGTTTTCCTCTGACGTCATGGCAACACCTGTGTTTGTGCTTCGGATGATAATACCCAGTTCAGGCTAACGGCAGAGTCCTCTGTGGAGGAGCTAGCCCCGTTTTCTCTTCTCAGATCTAATTGTACTGCAGACCATCCACAGCTCTTTCCTTTTTTCTCTGCCCCCCTCCACCTGGCGTCCTGCCTGAAAAGTCTCCTAGGGAAACCATGGCCAGGAAACAACTCCAGAATACTGCCCAGATTTATGATCTCCCACCTCCAGCATCTGCGACCTTCCTAGCTCACTGCAGGCCCCAGGGGTAGGGTTTCTCAGAAAAATGTGTGGGCTGTCCCGTATGCGATGGCCACTCATGCTGCTTAACATGGCGGCGTGAGAGCTTGTCTCTGTAAGTGATCTGAGAGGCCACTGCTTCCTTAAGGCTGGAAAAGACACACAGAGAAACCACCCTCCTAAGGGGAGGGACCCACGGTTCCTCGGGCGCTGCTCTGAGCCCCAGAGGCCCCTCATCTGGCTGTTGCAGGGCCGGGACTGAGGAGCAAGCGCATTTGGTGACGGTCGGTCGTTAAAGGGCGGTATGAGGACTGCCCTGTGGGGAGTCGGGATGGAGGACGGCAGGATAGGAACGTGGGTGTTCTCCCCGAGTCAGTGCCCATTCCCCGGGTGCGGAGCTGACCTGGTTGTGTGTGTGTGTGTGTGTGTGTGTGTGAACGTGTATATGTGTTAAGGAGTTAAACACTCGTGATTGCAGAGAAGGTCTGGATTGCCTGAAACCTAAATTCACTCTGAGCAGCAGGAATGAGTTTCTCACCACTTACCTCTCCCTTTGTCCCACGTCTCTGCCCCTCGCACGAGGCCAGGCCTGTGGTCACAGGGACGGTTGTTTTTCAAGACCCTTGGGTGCCTAGCTGCACTCCTCCACGCCGAGTCTTTGACAGCACTGAATTGTCCTCCCAAAACTAG